GACAAGCGAACATCATGAGCCTCCTGCTGAGACGCAGTCAGAGGGCACCACATCCCACCTCAGTGCTGCTGCCAGGAGCAGCTAACCTGCCTCTCATCACCAGGAACCAACCAGGCAAATCCACATGGTGGAACGTTCACCAAAAGGCAGAGTCAAGAGAAGAAAAAAGGGCAGAGGGCCCGTCCTAGACTAAAAGAGATTACAGATGCCTGGCCAGTGTGGCTCAGTGATTGAGCATCGACCTCTGAACCAGGAGGTCATGGTTCGATTCCCGGTCAGGGCATATACCTGGGTTGCAGGCTCAATCCCCAGTGTGGGGCGTGCACGAGGCAGCTGATCCATGATTCTTTCTCATAATTGTTGTTTCTCTCTCTCTCTCCCTCTCCCTTCCTCTCTGAAATCAATAAAAATGTATTTTTTAAAAAAGAGACTATAGGTTGCTAAAAAAAAAAGACTAGAGGTACAACCAAATGTAATGTATGAATCTTGATTAGAAGTTTAAAAAAAAACAGCTATAAAAGGCATTTTGGGTACCACTGATAAAGTCTGTATATGTTATATATTAAGTGGCATCATTGCGCTGGACTCATGTCAGCTTTCTTAGGTGTGACAGCGGTATTGTGGCTCTTTGGGAGAACGTCCATAGTCTTTTGAGATGCACAGTGATGTGTTAGGGGAGATGTGGATGAAGCATGAAACTTGCTTTCAATGGATCAGAAAAAAGGTCTGCAAATATATAGAGAAAGATAGAGCAAATGTGGCAAAATACGAAGGGGAGAATAATATTCATTGTAACCAACATTTCAGCGTATTTGAAAGTTTTTAAAATAAAAATTTTGAAAAATGTAAATGAACGTCCACTTGGCCATAACAGACGTCTCCCATTTTCCATGAACAAAACCCAGCGGGCCCCTTCTCCTGGCTCTCCGTGACTATTGTGCGTCTCCCTTAACTTCTCGCTCCCCCTCGCAGCCAAACCAGCACCCAAACGTCGCTTAGCTCCAGTGACATCTGTCTACCCTCACTGTCCCCATTCCCAGTTCCAGCCCCCAGTCTCTTGCCATTATGACCACGAAGCCTTCTACCCTACAGCCTTCCACCTCCTCTTCCTGCTTTTCCCATTCATTCTCCACAGGGTCACAGAGGCACCTTCTGACCACATCAGTTTCCTGCTCATACTATTTCAATGACCCCGCCCCGCTGCCCCAGCCTGGCCTGAGCGCCAGGGCCTGTTGAACGCCTCCACTTGGCCATAATAGACGTCTCCCATTTTCCATGGACAAAACCCAGCGGGCCCCTTCTCCTGGCTCTCCTTGACTATTGTGCGTCTCCCTTAACTTCTCGCTCCCCCTCGCAGCCAAACCAGCACCCAAACATCGCTTAGCTCCAGTGACATCTGTCCACCCTCACTGTCCCCATTCCCAGTTCCAGCCCCCAGTCTCTTGCCATTATGACCACGACAGCCTTCTACCTACAGCCTTCCACCTCCTCTTCCTGCTTTTCCCATTCATTCTCCACAGGGTCACAGAGGCACCTTCTGACCACATCAGTTTCCTGCTCATACTATTTCAATGACCCCCCACTGCTCACAGAACAAAGTTCAAATTCCTCAATATGGTCTCCTAAGCCTTGACCTCTGTCCTCCATACTCTGCTACTCCAAGTGCAAACACACGGCGCCCCGCTCCTCTGTCTCAACACCCTTTGCCTGGTTAATGTATCTTTCAGGCCCCCGCAC